AGGTGGGGATGAGTCTGGGCTTGCAGGCATCGACCAGCCCAACAGGAAAAAACTGTAATCACTGAGAATAATAATTAGGGACTAAGGTGCATTTTATTTGGAAAGTTCTTAGTAGAAAACAGTTAGAAAAATAAACACATTTATTCACAACAAAACTGACATCAAATGCAGTAAATAATTACCTGATCTATGCTTCTATGATCTATTAATCAACGAATGTGGGTACATGTGTGTAAAAACTCAAATTGCTGAGCTTTAACAAGACCTGCCAGGTCAGTGCTCTGCTCTCACTTCATTTTGCATAATTTCCTGCCCGTGCCATATTTGTGCTGAAGCTCAGCTCGCTACTCCCAACAAAACCCATTTTCTCTGGGTTTTCTTTTGTGTGAAGTCAGCAGCACATTAACCCCCATGTGCTCATAATCCAGGGATTTAAGGAAGTTGGGGTTTCTCTTTCCCTGCCCTGTGTGGGTGGTGGTGGCAGAGCCGGGCTCTGTGCCCGGGGGGGGGTGAGGGAGGGGGCAGGGGCACAACGGGGATGTGCCCGATGGAAACTGCCCTGGGCTCCTTTTTCCTTCCTTTCCCATAGAAGTCCAGCTTTGAAAGCTTGCAGGAAAGTTAGAATTTAGACCAACGTATTTCAAGTTACCATTCCAAACAGAAGGCATGTTCCACAGTGTTTGGGCAGGATGTATTCTGGAGAGAAAATTCTGATCATATTTAATAGTCTTTGAGTCCTCCGATGCTGTTTGTTGTGCAAATATTGAGTCACTCACTCGCCTCCCTGCAAGTGAATGAAAGTAATGTTTCAGAACTTGGAGCATTTCAGTTTCTTGTTCAAGGTGGCTGTGGAAACTGAACTGGAAAATAACACGATGCACGTTACCTTGATTTAAAATAACTTAGCTGTTTAACACACAGGGTAATAGAGTTGTTATTTCACTTCTCCCTCCTCGCTTTTGCTTTAGAAACTACTAAGTTTCTGTTTATCTTAGTCTTTAACAGCTGTTCAATAAAATTAAGTAAACTTGCATGTAATATTTGGAGACATATTTTCCTCTAGATTTTAGATTTTGCTCTAGACCATACATGGTTCCAAAATAGAGTATGGTTGAAATTTAGCAGAACGGAGGCGATGCTGTCCCTGTAGCCAGACAGGGCACAGGTTTAGTCCTAGATACCTTTAGATACCTTCATTTTTCCATCACATGCTGAGAATATTGTGGTAAGTTGTGCCCATTCTTCCTTAGGCACAAAGGGGTGGTTGTTCCCCGGACCCGTCTCTGTGATTCATTCTTGCTGATGCGTCCTGTCGGGTGCTGCACCGTGTGTCCCAGCGCTGGCAGCACGCTGCTGGCCTGCAAAGGGATTCCTTTCACTTCTGTAAGAAATTTTAAAAAAGTAAATTCTGTCTACAGGTTTTAAATCTGGAAAAGGCATCTCCTGTTTAACTTCCTTGCAAAGTTACAAAATGTTGAGGAAATAATATTTGCAAAGCCATTCCAGCTGCTGCCTTTACTGCCAGAGGCATAATGATAAACTTGTTTAAAAGCTATTAGTAAAGGTGGTATTAATATGATGTAGAAACATCCACATCTTCTGTAGGGAAGTCTCTCTTTTCCTTCAGTAGCATTTGAAATCTGGGAATCGCTTAAGTGAGAAGAGGAACTTGATTCAAGTCATATACAAGAGTGATGTGTAAAAGTTCCTCATTGGTGCTGTTTGGGACTGGCGCCGAGGCGGCCGCGGAGAGGTAATCTATCAGTTCTTGAGGGTCTACAAAATGCAACTCTCCAGATAACAGGTTTAAAGTAAAGATTTAATACAGGCTCTATCTACTCTGATGTTGCAGTGACAGTTTAAAACTCATTCTCTAAATCTCAGCAGACTTTATAGCTAACAGTGGGCCCATATAAAGCTTAATGGCATTACAGCACATAAATCATCTTTTAAAGATGCTACCAGTAGCGCCGATATTAAATGCAGACAATTGTCTGTGTTATAAATAATTTATCAAACACCGTTTCAGATTAGCCTTCCATGCTGAGTTATTTATTTTAGCCTTTACTGTACTATTCCTAAGACGCGTTTTGAGAGACCCATTACTGGTCACTTTAATGAAGGTGGGGGTCTGTCCCCCCGCCCCGCGGTACAGCTGGGGTGACCATTACAGGGCTGAGCTGGACCTCTCTGCGCCTTGTACAAGTGCTGCCCATTTGTCATGCAGCGGTAAATGGAGTTGCACATTGGAGTCGTGGGACACATTGTGTGCTGCCGTGACGGAGACAGACAGATAGTGCCATAAAGCGCTGCCTGTCACCGCGCCCCGCGCTGCACTACATCACCCCGGCCCTAATCTCATTTAAGGAGCAGCGTGGACCCCAGAGGATGATATTCCCAGTTAGTTCGGTCTTTGCAACCATAAAGCAGGAAGTGCTCCTCTTATATACTCTGAACTTTTAGGGTTTTTTAAGATTAATTATTACAGTGACTCATTTGTGCCCCTGCACTTAAAACTGTGTCAGCACTTTCCCTGCCAGCCCCCTATTTCTGGGTGTAAAATAGTGGTGCTTGCTGCAACTCGGTGTGCAGGGTCTGACAAGGAATGGTGTGGGGTTTCTTCTTGTGGCTATTCTGGTTATCTTTCTAAATGATGAAAAGGGGAGGAGCAATAAACGCAGGACTGAAGCAGGGTTTTCTAAAATTAAAATGATTCCAGGTTCATGAACCGGGCTGCACTGTACCAGGGGAATGAGCCCAGCTTTAGACTTGCTCAGTGCTGCGGGTGCCTCGGTGCAGTTACAGCTGAGCTCCTCTGGATATTTTTAGAACTATTTTGATAACAGTAGGTCAATAGAGTGCTCATTAAAAAGTGAAAAAAGCCTTTTGATTAAAGGTGTAGCGTGACTCTGCAAGCTTTGCATTGTTGTCTAAAAAATATTAAATTTAAAAGGGGAAGGGAACAAAGCCCCAACAATTTCCTTTAGTTTTTGGAAGCTGTGGTGTTTTTCTTACACTAACAGCTCACATAATAGCTTAGAGTTACTCTGGTGTTACTACTGTTTAATTTTTAAAATATATCTACACGTGATTTTGTCTTTTAGTATGTGCAATAGTGCTAAAATCTGTGTGCACCAAATCAGTGAAGTTGGTTTCTATCAGCTGACTGAGGACATTCTTGCTCATTGGGGTTTTGTGCCGAACGCACTGAAGGACCGTGGCTGTTTTGTTCCACTCACCTTGGCAGACAGTGTCAGTCAATGTTTTGCTTCTTGTTTCTTTTTAAAAAAGAGTAATGCTAATAAAATTGGCAGGGAAATAGAAATTGCTTAAATTCTTACAGTTTACTGAAAAAGTGCCCCCCTCCTGGTCAATACCTTGATGAAGCTGTTAGAGCAGGAACACTGTTATTACAAGTTCTTTTTGGGAGGCCAGGGCAGAATGTGGAGTATGTGCCGGGAGCAGACGGGGTTGGAGCTGAGCTAATTTTGGGCTCCTCTTCAGGGGCACTTGGACACTGGGGCTTGTGCAGCTGCTCCCAGTCAGACCTTCTGGGAGCTGCTGGGGCTCTTGGCGTCCTTATTTCCACGGGGCAAGAAAGGCTTTTTTGCCACACTTTGTCACACTCAGCATCTTCAGGGCTTTCCTGGCCGGGGCAGGTGGTTTCTAACAGCAGAGTCTGAGGGGTTTCTCCAGGAGCTGCCCTGGGAATGAAGCCTCCCCGGGAGCTGCAGAGGGAGCCAGCGCAGCTCCAGCCGCATGTGCCGGGGAGGAGGGTATCGGGGTCCAGAACTGGCACCTCTGGTGCCTCCACATCAACACCCTTCACAGATTTTGTTGGGGCAGTGAAGATGATTAGATCTGTTGTGGTGTTTTAATGGAGAGTTTGATGAATTAGAAATGTTTCCTTGTGAAAGACTCATCTGCATGTTATTTGTCTTTGAGCCGTAGTTTCAGGCAGCTTCTGCCCAGGACATTTCTCAGTTCAGGCCCCGTGCCTGTTGCAGCAGCAGCAGCAGCTCCGTACGGGCCCTTTTAACAGCAAGTAGCTCTACAGAACCCGTACGAAAGCAAACAGGGGAGCTTCTGTAGGACAATGCACGGTTTCAGAAGCCATAAAGAATAGCCAGCTTTATTTCCTGTTCTAGTTTTCTGTTCTAGTTTTGCTGCAAAGATGATTGTATTAGTTGTCCTAAGGAATTTAGAAATATACATGGTTTTGAAATATATAAATACAGTAAATTTACTATATTAAATACATATTTAGCTACCTATGGAATTTCTGCAGTGTACAGCAGAAAAGAAACTGTAGTTACTTTTCCTTTTTTTTTTCCATTTAAATAGTAAGAACTTACCTCTGTCCGACCACTGCCATTTGGAATTACCTTGTTTGAGCAGCGCTTTCAGGTTTCTGTCAATATCCTGCACTTGTGTTCAGGGCTGGAGTTAGAGCTGTAGCCCGCTCCCCTTCAGCACAGAGCAAAGCTGCTTTGTGACACAGTTGCTGTTACAATGAGGTGAATAATTTTTGCAAACCCAGCTCTGTTACAAAATTACAGAAATCATTTTGGTTCTACAGAGGCTGATTAAATAGTCCCTGCCCAGGGAGGTGGTGTCGCTGAACTGGAGTGACTCTCTCATTGGTATGCAACGGGTGCACAGAGGGCACCGCAGGGACCGTGTAATGCACAAAAGCCTGGAAGATAAAAACTGTAAAATTTGTTTTCTCCATTCATTAAGAGAGAAATCTTAATAATTTCTCTGACTGTCATCACTGAGGCTGATCTGTCCTGAGGGGGGTGGCTCGTGCCCAGGACAAAAGCCTGTCCCTGCCCCTGGTCCCGCTGTTGAACCGACTCTCGTTAATGCTCCGTGGTGATTAAAGAGGCGCTGGGATCTCATTTATTGTTCTGAGAGCTCACAGCTTCCACTCTCACGTGGACAAACATTTCTGTGAAATGCCAACACTGTGCAGTGACAGCTTTTTTTAACTTTTCCAGGAAGAGGAAGCCAAACAGCTTGTGAGGGATGCCATCGCAGCCGGCATATACAATGACCTGGGCTCCGGCAGCAACATCGATATCTGTGTCATCAGCAAGAACAAGCTGGATTTCATCCGTCCGTACGATGTGGCCAACAGAAAGGGGGAGAGGTTAGTATTCCTGAGGCTGTGTGCTGTCTGTGCTCTTCCAGCAAGTCTTGTTTTCTGTAATGCTAAGTTTTGCCACAGTAACGTCTAGATCTGTGTATTGAATTGCAACTAAACAAGAAAAAGTTAGTGACTGTACCTGCAGTTGAACAGAGGCTGCCAGAGGCACCTACAGCTGTGTGATGGAAACAGATTACTTTCTTGCCTGCCACCCCTTTTCCACGGCAGGAGACTGTTCCTGAATTTCAGGCAGTTTGAGGAAGTTATGAAGTTTTGTGTTTGTGATTGAGCAGAGGCAGGTTTCAGTTCATTTTACTGCTCTGAGTACATTTCCGTAAAGCACCTGGGAGGGTTGCACAGGGGGTGACACTAAATCCTTCACAGAGGGGAAGTTATTTTGTCACTTGTAATTCTGAAATTTTCTATCACAATGCAAGGGTGGAACTCTTTGGAAAGGGTTACATGTAAGTATGTGTTGTGTGGTCTCATCACACTGACACTGGTCAGGACACAGAGGGGATGAAATCAAGTGCACAAAATCTGTGTTAGAGGAACTGGAAGATCTTCTGCACACTCAGGTGTGTTGCTCAGTGAAGTACGTTGCCTAATCTGGGAAATTACAGCCCGGGGCAGCTCAAGGATTTCACAATATGTACTTTTGTGTTACATATAACAAGTTGTACAACTTCTCCATCTGCTGCCAAAATAGTAGAGCTTAAAGAAATTGCTTTTTTCCTTCTTTCAAAGGCAGCCACTATGGCCAAAGCCACAAAGAATTGCCCTGCTCCAGTTAAAGGGCTTTTGGCTTTCTCACTGTGCAGCTCCATAAGCACCACCCTCCCCCTGCACAGACCCCTCGGGGGCTGGAGCAGAGCTGTTCTTACTCGCTTTACGTGAGATTTTGGATTCTGCTGCATAAATGGAAGAAAAGGGTGACAACGCCTTTGATCAGATGCAGTCAAGATTTCAGAAACGTGGCTTCATTAGAGGCAGGCTGTGTGTTAAATGTTAGCTAATCTTAGCACAGAAACCCAGAGCTAATACACTGGTAAAATTATTCTAGAGTTGCAAAAAATAAATAAACTGCTTGTTGTTTGAGTGAGGGCACACAGCAGGAATGTCCAACGCACTAATGAGATCCCATTCATTGCTCTAAGGTGGCCTTACAGTTACGTGGTAATTTATTTTTTTTAAGGATGTGTTTCCTAAAAATGGTCGTTGATGTGAAGCTGTATCAGTTACTGCAATCAGTTCAGAGTCTGCAGTTAGCACAGTGCCTTTACTTTTGCCTTTTAGAAACTTAGTTTTGGAAGCTTCCAGCGAAAGCTGGTTCATTCTGACATCTTAAAGGAGAGCTTTCCCACCCAGTGCTGCTGTCCAGCTTAATGGTCAACTGTTTCTTCAACAGGTTTGGGAGGTACAAGTGCGAAAAAGGAACCACAGCTGTTCTCACAGAGCACGTAGCTCTGCTGGACATCGAGGTGGTGGATGAGACCGTACAGACCATGGACACCTCCTGAAGGCTGCTGCCCTTCTGTGGCGCTGGAGCCTCCAGCGTCGGGAGACACACGCGGCCGATCCAGAATAAAGAGGGTTCTGACCATTCTCTTAATTGGTGTTTTACCTGGTGCTGGTTTCTGCTGCTGCTTTTCCTTTCTCACACTGTTGAAATCCTGAGGCTCATGTAGAACAGAACCTGGCCTCTTCCCCCGTCGGTGTTGGGGGCTCTTTACCCCCCCAGCCCTGTCGACCACAGGAAGGAGCTGGCAGGGCACAGACACCACCTCCAACAGTCCGGCTGTTACCTCACTCCAGAACAAAACCATGAGGGAAAACCTGTCCTGTGTAAGCCCCACGGGACAGGGTGTGATTTGACATCATGTTCTTTTCTTTATGGAAACCTACCAAACAGTGAGCAGGGGTTGTTCCCAACTGCTGGCCAGGTCCTGCAGCAGACTCCTACTGCTGTTAGCGCAGGGAAATAATACTGTTAGCGTGACAGGGAAGAGTTTTCTTCCCTGGTTTCTGTAGCTAGAGCCAGGCTGGGGAGTAGATCCACCCTCCCACCACTGATACACACGTTTCCATTTCTCAGTTACATCACTGAAGGCAGCAGAATTCAAAGTCTCATTACTTGCTTGGCTTTTTCTACAAGCTTCCACTTGAACCTTTTTTGCCCTAAAATCCTCAGCTTGTACTATTTGACATAAACTCATGTCAAACTGTTTCAAACCACATAATGAGTAGTAAACAACAACCTCAATAAAACCACACCAAAAACCCTCAGGAAAGCCAGGTGGGACTCCACCTGCAGAATTATCTTCTCATTGAGGCAAAAGGTGAGGTGTGTGACGTCACCTCCCCTCAGCTGCAAGAGGTCAATTCACTGGCCCCAGGCCCCAGCCCTGGCATCTGCAGCAGCACCCACAAACCAGCTGTGGAGCTGCCCCAAGGCCAAGGGTGAAGACACTTGAGCTCATGTCTGTGTGTCCATTTTCTGACAGCTGTAAGGAACCAGTTCACACACGTTTTAGGCCTGTTTTCAGTGCTTTCATTATTATTTTTTTTTTTAACTTTTTCCTTTATACTGGCCTTTTTTCTTTTTTTTTGTTTTTTTTAAACAAAGGTGTTCATTTTGTAAATCATTTTTTTATTTATCTAAAAATGCACAATTGCAAAAAAAATTACCTTTTTGAAATACATTTACTCATAAGCACTAATAAATTTCATGTAGCAAGAAAGTGACCAGACGTCTGGAGCCACTGGAGGTTGGGCTGAGCCCCCCTGGCAGCTCCTGTTCCTTGTCCCAGCGGGAGGCAAAGCACAACCTGTCCCCCCCCCCCGAGGTGTAGCTGCCACCACGGCTTAAAGGAAAGCTGCAGTGAGAAGGTGACAGTCCTTGGTCTTACACCCAGTGGTCGCTGAAGGAGCTGGGTATAAATTACACACCTTCACGTGGGAGCAGGGAAGGCATTTGGTGCCTCTGCGACCTTCTCCTGATTGGAATTTCCCCCAATCTCCCGAGAGCAGCAGCTCAACCTTCTGTGGAGAAAACTCTCAGTGAAATGGCACCTTGTGTTAATGGTACCAACATCAGTCACAGCAATTAATAGCTTTTCTTTGCTAAACTATATAAATACTTTGAAATTTGACGGGAAGTCATTGAAGAAGGCACTGCAGTTTTCCTTTAAGTAGAGCAAATTAGGTTAAAAAAAAAAATCCACTAAAAGCATATATATGTATGTAACCCTCTAACCCTAATCTTATTTCCAAAAAATTAAGAATTGTATGTTCTTCTTAAGAAAAAAAAACTAAAACAAAAAACCCAGGCACAGGCTGCATTTGAACTGTCACACACAACTCTACAGTTTGGGCCGAGCCCCCGGAAATGGAAACACTTGAACGTGAATCCACGTTTGTTCCTAAAGCAGTGAAGATTTTCCATCGCCAGTAAAGAAACAAATCATTGATTCAATGAATGAATTTAGTTGGTTGAAAATTTCCATGCAGTTAAAGACGATGACTCCTTCAGATCAGGTTGAGATTTTATAAAAATTCACATTCTGTAAATGAGCTTTCACAGTTCGACAGATGGGGCTGATCCTCATGTAGAACAAGATACACAAAGCATTTTACTTCTTTTTAAAAAAATTTTCAAAGTGTTTTAAAACACTGCTTTTCTGGAGTGTTACCTGTAGTACCTGATGTACCACTGAACGTGTAAGAGCATCTTCACCAACCTCTCGTTGGCTTCGACAGACACGGTCTGTAACAAGACCCTGTCGGCTAAAAAGACTCCTGCCAGGTGGGAAAATACATTTAAAGAGAAACGATTTGCAGAAGCAGGGCTTGGTTTGGGGGTGGTTTTCCCCAGGCACACGCTCACCTCAGCTCACCGGCCGTAGCCGAGTTAACAGAGAAATGCATCAGCAAAATAATCAATCTAAATTTTCAATTAAAAAAAAAAAAAAAAAAAGAAAAAGATATCTTGAAAGAAATGTGTTTCCCACCCCACACCCCCCCACCCCTTCCCGGTTCCTAAGGCTGAAGAGGAGGGAATTAATAAAAACACATAAATGGCTGCTTTAAAATATACGAAGTAAAAACTGAATTTGCTATTAACCATTTGCAGAAGAGGCAAAGTAGCAGTTATACAAATTACACAAAATCTACTGTAATTCTTACATTAGTATAAAGTGATTTCACTGAAGGAATTATTTCAATATTTCACATTACAGTTAAGAGGGAAGGGGTGTGTCAAACGCTCCGCCCCCCCCGCTGCTATCATCTAGCCTAGATTACACACGACAGTTTTAAGAAAAGACCCTTAAATGATCTACATCTGTAACATGTTATTGGCCTTAAAAAAAAAAAAAAAAAAAAAAAATCACTTGCAAATACCTCACAGAATCCTCACGTTAAAGCACGACCACCTTGTAAGAGTCCTTGTCAAATAACCTGCAGAAATAATGGAGCATCCATTGAGTGCTCAACCCTCTCCCTGGTGAGACTGGGCACCAGGCGGTTTCAGCTGAGAAATCAGATTCAAGTAAGACTGGGCTGTGCTGGCTCCGCGGCCGCTCATGTGCTGGAGGTCCAGACATGCATCTGTTTGGCTATTTGGTGCACGTAACCGATGTCGGGCCTTTGATCGGGGTCAGGGTATATGCACATGCTGACCAGCTCCCGCAGCTGAAAGAGAGGAAAACAGGCACCAAAACGTCAACCAAAGCGCTGAGTTCTTACTGGGAAAGGCTACGGGAATGTTTGTCCCACCCCTGGAGCCCCCGACAGGAGCTGGGAAGCCCTTGTAGGTGGCTGCTCCTGGCAGAGGGCAGGCACACCTCCCTCCCACCCGCCTGCGTCCCCCC